CCGTTGTGCTTAGTTGACGGCTAGACAAGTTTTTGATCCATCCTTCACCGTACCATATATATATATATATATATATATATATATATATATATATATATATATATATATACATATGATTTGGCGGCGTCCGTATCCGGATTTGCCTGTCACTGTGGCCTCCATGGGGACAGCTACAATACGCCTGCGCCTACAGAGGGACCATGGGTGGCTTGCGCTGCATCACTCACAGCTCCACTCCACAGCCACATTTCATTAAAGGAGCCGGCCCACACTCCTTCACAAGTAAACATATGCACGCTGTATTTGGGAATCAATCGCACACAAGGCGGTTGTTGGACTGTAGTCCGCTTCACTCTGGGTGCATGGAATCACTCTTCGAGCCTAGCACGGCCACAAGGACCGTGCACCCCGTCCCCTCCAGCAACGATCAGCTGTCTCCTAGAGTCATTGTGGACGAGGTAGTGGGTACTAGACAGGTAGGCAGCTTGTCAACATGCACATCAAGGGCAACCACACCGGGGATGTCAAACAACAGCCAATCACTTGAGACGATGATATCAACTAAAATAATGCGAACAATGCATACATATATCGTGACATAACTTTTCCATAAATAAGCATCTGAAATAAATTGCTTGCCAAAGAATCGGCGATGAGTTCAAGACGTCAAATATATATTTTAAGATAATGCCACAAACGCGAAAATGTTATCCAAGTTAACTACAATTGACTTTAGCGACGTGTGCAAGTCAATAGAAGTTAGATTAGGTGCACATGTATATAAAAAAGCATTAGGACAGTATGGCAAACCGACCACCTGAAATAAAGAGACAATGCATGCAAGCACGCGGTTAATAAATCGAATGCAGCGTACCTACCAACGCTGTGCCGGTTCTGTCTACGTTCTCAGCAGGACTCGTCGTCGTTTCTATGCTGCTCCTGAGTGGCCTCGCTCATGGCTCACTAGGCCTGCCTGACTCAGGCACTCGCGACCGCATGTGCTACGCCACCATGCGCTCGATGTCGATGGTGTACAACCCATCGGTGGCTGCCGCTTCCCCACTTGCCGCTTCTCCGCATGCTTCTCCCGCACCTCGACAACTGTTTTCGTTATCAGATCGCGTCATACGCGCGTTTAACCGCCTTTGATTCCCATGACCTGCAATCAAGATTAGAACGTAATAGGCTCATTTTTATTATGTTCTGGTTACGAAGCTTCGGTTTCCCCACATGCCGCTTCCCCAAACTCAGCTGACCATATAATAGCTGATTCGGTATCCGCGTCGAATCCATACGCCACACATGACCGAGCCACCTCATGTGTCTCAGCAGAAGTATGCAGTCCACTGCATACATTCCACTTCGCCGTAGCACCTCCATGTCTGCAGCCCTGTCGTCCCAACCGATGCGCAGAATCCGCCACAAACACTGCTGATGGAACCGCTCGAGATATCGCACATCCCGCCGGTACATCGTCCACGTTTCACTGCCGTATAGAAGAACGGACAACACCATGCATTTTTACGCCATCAGCTCCGTGCCAACGGTAAGCTGATAGTTGTTCCACTCTCGGTACTCTGGCTTCCCGAATGCAGCCGCTGCCTTGGACGCGCGGACACGAAGCTCACTGTGTAGCTGCTGGTCAGTCGACATCACAATCCCAAGGTAACAGAAGCGGCAGGTGGTTTCCAATACTTCGGCACCAGTGCTGATTTCCGGCAATATTGAAGATTGCACCTCCGGTGAAGGCTGAAAGAGACAGACACTTTTGCTAGTGTTGATGGTGAGCCCGAATTTGGCCGCTGTCGAAGCCAGAGCACTAGTCATGTGCTGCAACTTATCCGCGCTGTGTGTAAACAACGCACAGTCGTCAGTAAACAGCAACTTATGGATAGTTGTCTCACGGACTAGGGTTCTCCCACCGAAACGACGGATGTTTAGCAACCCACCATCAATACGGTGCTCCACACGAACACCGTAAGCAAAAGCGGCGTCAGAAGCATATGACGTCATTGCATGAATCTAACTATTAAGCAAGGCAGGAGCTAAGACACATCCTTGCTTCACACCAGAGATAACTGCAAAGTCATCCGAGGTCTCTCCACTCAGCTGCACTCTCGTCCGCATACCACTGTGCAGATATACAATTAAACTTACAAACTTACGCGGACAACCAAACTTACCCAACACCAGCCACAATGCCTCGCGGTTCACCGTATCAAATGCCTTGGTGAAATCAACAAAAAGCGAGTTCAAAGGCTGGTGTCGTTCTCTACGCTTCTCTTACAACTGGCGATCAGAAAACACCATATAGATGATGCTACGACCCGAGCGGAATCCACATTGATCTTCCGCCACGTTCGGTTCCCCAACCTGACTGACGGGGCAATTGAGCAGGATTCGGGCAATCACATTGCCCACACAACTCAGCATGTTGATGCCGCGATATTTCTTGCATCGTTGCTTGCTCCCTTTTACCCTTATACAGTGGTAGCACAAGGACATCCTTCAGCTCAGGAGACACCTCCTCAATCCATACACGTTGCACCAAGTGGTGCAGCGCAGTCAACAACGCGGGTCCGCCGTGTTTCAGTACTTCAGGCGGGATCCCGTCGGCTCCGGCACATTTGCCGATTCGCAGCTGAGCAAGTGCTATTTGAGTCACATCCAGTGTCGGCGTGTCCGCCAGACTCGCCTTCACATCGTATTGCTTCAGGCCGTTCAATGTAGGCCAATGGACCTCTGAACGGTTGTTCAAGAGACAATCAAAGTGATTTCGCCAGATCTGCATTATGTCTGCAGTCTGTGTGCAGTTAGCGCCTGAACTACCATCGATCAGCGTCCTCAGCGGCTCCAATCTCGGTCCATACACCGCCTTCAAGGAGTCAAAGAATTCCTTGTGTTGGCGGCGTTCCGCGTTGCATTCCTTCTGCTTTGCCTTCTCCATCCACCATGCATTCTTTATGCGACGGAGTTCTCGGATCAGTCGCCGTCGAAGTTTGCGTAACTGACTCTTCTTCCCCAAGTCACCGGGGTCTCCCAAATGTGCAGCAGATGGTGCATTCCTCTCCGACACCAATGCGCCGATCGTCGCATTGTTGTCATCAAACCAATCAGGCCGCTTACAGTTTGCGCGCTCGATGGTCTCCTCGGCAGCAGCTGTCACTTGGCCGCGAATGTGGTGCCACAGGTCGCCTATTGTGGCTATGTCTTCCACATCATACAGGCGTGCAGCCATCGCCTTCGCCAGCTCAGTACGTTTCGCTACAGTACCGAGGGAGAGAATGTTAAATTTACGCCGATTCACGGCAGGAGTGCAATACATAGATTTACGAAAATATATGTACAGTTTGGTCCGCACCAATTTGTGATCAGTGCCACACTCAGCTCCACGCAGTACACGTGTCATGCTCACTTCACGCATATCACGCTGACGTCTGATGACATAGTCGAGCAGGTGAGCGTGACCACTCCGTGGGTGCGTCTAAGTTGCTATATTACTCGCACTCAGTGCAAACCGAGTGTTCGCGATCGTCAGACCGTGAGTGGCACACAGTGAGAGCAGCCTGTCACCGTTCACATTCGCTGATACAATGTCATGCGAACCGATCACATCTGTCCACACCGATGCATCAAGTCCAACGCGCGCGTTGAGATAATCCAGCAGAAATAGTCGGTCGTTCTTTGGCACAGACCGCATCACGAAGTTTAGCTAAGTGTAGAATTGGTCGCGAGTCTCATCAGGATAACACATGGTCGGACCGTACGTGCTTATGAATGTGGCAAACTTACCTCTTCCGAGTCGTAGGCGAACAGTCATCAGTCGCGCACTGATGCCTGTTGGTTCACCCACCAGCTGGCCATGGAGGCGATTGGATATTACAAATCCGATCCCATGTTCACGTGGTGCTGAGGCGGCGTTGCCCATCCACTAGAATGTATAGCCAGCATCTGTTTCATCCAACTTACCTTGCTCAGCGAGCCGGGTTTCGCCGATACATATTAAATCTCATGTACAGTAGTACTACAAACGTGCATGGGTCTCGTTTGGAGGTCAGGCTAACAGCCATTTTTGAATGCATGAGATTATGTACCCAATACGAACAGTTGGTGTTTTCTTTAACATTTAGACGTAAACGTAAATAACAGCCTTAAATCTTGGACATGGGAACGACTCGGGTTCTCAGCCGAAACCCGAAAGGCAGCGGGTCTAGCACATGGTCAGTTCACTGACTCATGCAGATTGATGTCCTTGATCTTAGCGGTCGCCACGAGCAGGCGTCAAGGACAAGAGCCTACGACACAATAGTAGCAGCAGTGGGTAGAACATTTGTCAGGATCTAACCACCACCAGCCCCAGCCCACCATAGGCTCTCCCGACATATATATATATATATATATATATATATATATATATATATATATATATATATATATATATAATCTGTTTGTGACGGTATGTTCTTAACACAAGATATAGGCGCCTTGACTCTGAATGTTTGCTCAGGGCGTTAAGGTTTTCTGGTAAGTCCCTTTTCTCTCCCTCTTATTATTCGTTCCATAGGTCATCATGGTTGTATGGAAGCGAAACTTCTGTTCAAATGGCTGTTGTACTGCAGTTTTTGTTTGGTTGCTTGATCGATTTACAGTCTAGGACTGATGTGCGACATCTGTAGCTATTGACAACATGGTCAGTTCGGGTCTAGGTCATTGAAATATTCGATGGGCGCCACGGGACGCGGTGCGAAAGTTTGATTCCCGTAATGTTACCAATGGATAAAGTGGTCCGTTTATTGGGTTGCAGCGTATGTTTGGTGTTCCAAATGCTGTTGTATCAGCAGTGCAACAGAACTCTACGATGTCCCGTCAACTGCAAGCGGCTGTACTCAGGTTGGGATACCACAGGGGTGTCCAATCCCATGCGATAACGAGGACTCGATCCCCGGGCTTCAAGTTTCAAACCCAATACCTTAACCGCTGCACCACGAATTCTCATTTAGATGGTTGTTTCACCGCGCCGTTTTCCTATGAATGAACGTTACCTGGTGGCTTTAATGAATCCAAGTTTTTCCCATCCATTCATTTGTGTCCGTTGTTCTATTTTGCGAGTTGTGATTGACGTTTACCCGCACCCCACCCACGTACACACACTCCTTGATTCGCCGGTTAAAGTAGCATGCAGGACTCTTTGGTTCTCATACCACAGGCACTGTCGGCTTACACTCTTCCATGGCCCGTCAAATGCGAACAAATCGTCACGGGTCACTAAGGCTCAGTTTAAAACTGCGAAGAACTTGCTGTCCACTCGTGCCTCAACCCACTCCTTTTGGACCACTGGGCTTACTTGCCAATCATTGCACCGTTCGTTCTCCATCTTGTCTACTCGTGCTATAATCTCTCCGTTTTCTTCATCTCGCATCCTAATTGCGTATGTATTCTTTCACTTCCCTCTTCCACTCTCATCTTTCGATTGCTCTCAGACAGTGATGCCAATTTGGATTTCTTGGTTCAGTCAAAACGAACGCAGCTCCGCAATCTGGATCAGAGTGGGGATAACACTTTGCTCGAGACACGTTCCGGCCGTCTAATTTACGGTGGGTTTTCTGTGCCCTGTTTTAATTCTCGCTGTATTCTCTGTCGATTCATTTTTCACTTTTCCATCGATTTTACCACGTTGACTTTGGTACATACAAGCTCTGAAGCACAATGGGTACGGTCCAGTGCTACAAGCTTGACTGTTGAATTCCGCTTGAAAACACATCCACTTTTTGCAACTGATCTGTTCGCTCATTTTCTCTCTATGTGAGCTGCCTAACTCTCCGCCTTCCCCTTCAATAGCTCGACAATGTCTGCTCTGCAAGCCTTCACGGGACCGGAGTTCTGTGTTGATTCTGTCCATTTGGATGGATGCTTGTCCAGACAGTGTAGAACAAATGTCGCACCTCACATTTGGAAGTATATTCTGCTCTACGATTTGGTATCTTTCGTTTTTCGCTAGCTGGAATTTATGATCACTTTGTCATTCTGATTTTCCCCACGCTGTAAAATTTCTGCACCATGGCGTGTCTACCACTCGTTTCTGAACCACTTTTCACCACAATTAACATTTGCAGCTTCAATCTCGCAGCCTGTATTCTCAACCGGATCAGCGTGTGTGTGTAAACAACAAAAATAAATAAATCGCCGGCTGCATACCGTTACGGGGCTTCGCTGCCACGCGACCACCACCAGTCTTGCGTGGGCTGAGTATACCGCGAGGCCGCCCGCCCCTACGCGGATTCGAACCGGTGACCTTATGGTTGCAAATAGACGCGCATACCACTCGGCCCCCGGCCGACGTAGGGCGTGTTTCAACTAGACGAATCGATCACACCGAATGTCGTTCTTTCCACTCAGTGGCTCTATCGCATGACACGGTAAACCACGTTCCTTTTCTTGTATCTGATCCGGATCCGAACGCGGACAAGAGGACTGCCTGCACTCAACTGTATCGAAGCTTTTTTCCCACTTCGTCTCGTAATCAGTTTTACTGTCAGTAGGTAGCTTAGCTAATGTCTTTGTTTGCTATTTGTAGCTGTTTTGTGCTGTGGTGCGTCTTTATAATTTGGACTCTCCAAGCGGTTGCACTAATCTAGTATTGCTTCGCTCTATTCGTCCTCAGAGTATTACCAAATGGTCTACGGTCGATGGAGACCCCTCTCTTGCACTACTGTTTCTGGTAGAGACCAGTCACTTAAGCGGAATGTGACTACATTTTCCCCCGAAAATTTGAGTCGAAGAGGCTGCTTTGGGTTCACCTGCTCTTATGTCAGCAGTCGTTTCAACCGGCGTGTGCTGTGGTTCCGCATTTGTCTCTACTAGGTAGAGTCAAATTTCACCGGCTTTTCGCCAAACATTTTCGCGCCCACAATTTATTATCGTCGCTTCTGTTCCTCTCTAGGCCCTGTTCGTGCTTCATACGGGAAACCTCCCGTTTCACCACCCAGCTGCCTCTCACCTGTGAAGCACTTGGATGAATCTGATCGTCTTACGGACACACTGATCCAGCCATCCGATAGTGACACCGGCGATGAACCTGATGACAGAGGGAATCATCCACCGAGAAATCGCGTCTCCGTTAAGCCACCCGGAACAGGGGGTCAGAAACAAGGTGACGATTCAAGTGTCACTGCGGCAAATTTCGAGCGAGCTGAACTAGAAAGTAAGCATTTCGCTTAGATGCTTCCTTATTTCTCTCGGACATTAATCGTCTTGCATGATTGTGTGTGTGTGTGTGTGTGTGTGTAGTGCGACTCTTTGACTGGCTGCTTTGAGGCTACGGTGTTCCGCTTTTGGGTCTTTTATCCGTTCCCTTCTAACTATTCTTTGCTCCTACACCGCGAGTTTTGTCAGCCACCGTTATCCTATTTCATCGATCTGTCATTTGCCGCGGTTTCTTTGTTATCAGATATTTGCACAAGCCGCCACCGCACAAACGGATTATAATCTGTGTGGTCTATTACGGATTCGCTCTCACTCTATTTTGCCATTATTTCTACTATTTGCTACCAGTCGATTATTATGCACATCATCCGAAACTGTGACCCAGCTGCTCGAAATTCACTTCAGAGTAAATCGCGGCACTCTTTGAGTGACTGCGTGTCACGTACTGCAATGGAATCAGCATTGACTAGTATCCTGAACCCCTGCTCCTTCCCGCACCTACCGCTTACTTGTTTGTCCAGTTGATTGCCTCGCAGAACATAGCCGATCAACTTGATTATGGGAAGCAAATGTCACCATAAGATCGTACAACCGAAACCACCATGCAAGGCTCAAACACTCGCATTCATGCCAGTGCACGTGATTCGACGTTTTCGCATTTACGAGAATTCACTTTTTCCAAACATTCACGTTTCCGAAACGTTCGGCTTACATTGTGTCAATGCATTTCCTTTTGTCCCGCGTCTTGATTAGGTTTACACAGCGTGTTATGTGAAAAATCACATACGCCACCAATCTTGGTATGAAAATGAGGCTGATCGACGCTGTATTCGCTCATTACTGTGCCAGTAAAAGTGTTCGTTGCGAATAGCTTGTTTTGCTTCATATATATATATATATATATATATATATATATATATATATATATATATATATGTAGCGAGGTCATCTGCGGTCCGCATTCGCTCTAGTCGCGCGTAGAAAACGTGTGACGACTATCTCACGAGTCGTCCAAACTGTATTCTCTTAGCTACTTTTTCGCGTGCGTGTACAATCCGCCAGTCGTTCATTCGTTCCACTAGAAGAGTCGTTACAACCACACCGAAACATAGCTTTGTTGGAGTTCAAGTGAGCCTGGCTCTTTGGTCGAGACACCCCTGGGCCTATAGTTCGCTCTGATAGCATGCACCAACCAGGGTTAAACAAAGCAATAACTAGAAGGACTCAGTCGAATGGATCAAAGAACTAACAGCTGAAAACTAAATGCGCGATGCATTGACCTCATCCCTTCTCGGAATGCGTTATGCCACCTTCGTACTTCCTCTTGGGTACCTTCAAAAACACAGTGTACATACTTGCTCAGGGTTCTTGTGTGTAAACAGCCGTGCCCGTGATATTTATCAACTGCACAAAGCTTTTATTCATACTGTGGCTGCAAGGATACTTGCATTCATGCGACTATTTCGATCACACGATTCAATGGGTACGGTAAATTTATACAGCCCTTACCAAACCTGAGCACTTCTTTACAGTCCAGATCTGGGTTTCCACTGCGACCTTTCAGCGGTAGGCCATGTGATTTGCCTAATCCATTGTGGTCATACGGGCAGCGTAGCCGATTTTGGCAAAACGGTTTAGTTAGCGTCATTTGAACATCATATGATTAAAAGTGCTTACATCGTCAATGAATCCACTTCTATGACATTCGCCACCTTTGTTTATCAGTGGACCACAAGTGCACAGCACCTGTAAACATTTTGGAATCAATAGTAAAGAGGTCGATTTTCCGCTTGATTCTCATGTACCACCTAACGAGGGCAGAGCACTAAGTTTTCAGATGAACGAAGGTTTATTTTATGCAATAAAATACGCATTATATTTTCTCCAAATACTCTCAACCAGCGCTCATGCACAGTTCCACGCGCTCAAACCATTTGTAGAAGAAGCTAGACCATGCGGAAGCGAGTGACCCTCCAAGCAGCTCAATAAAAACCTCTATAGTAACTTCTAGACTCATAACGGATTCTACGCATCATGCGCTTGACGTTTGGAAACACAAAGCCAAGTCTGGATTGTAGAGTGGGTGACTTAACCTCTAGCCAGGAGAACGACGACATGGGACCTGTGAGCAGCTGCGTGGCCATAGTGCAGCAATTTCACTCATGTTCTACTCCTTGGATGACGCATGCCTACAGCTTCGAACACTTGTGGCCGAAAGTGGGTGGCATACCAGTCTCCGGTGACTGTGCATTGCTCTACGAGCGGGGTACGACGGCCACATGACTGGTTTTAGCCACGAACACAGCCACCATCTGCCTGGCCACACTGCGCTCCCGCCGGAATTTCTGGAGCGGCGCCCCACCAACGACCGTCCACTGAGCTGACTGTTGTTTGGTCCCTGGGTCGAAACTGTACACTCAGGTCTCATCACCACTGAGAATCCCTCAACCAACATTACAGCGTCCATCATCAAACCTGGCAAGCATGATACAACACCAGTTCACCCGAGCTGCTTTTTGGTCCTCACTGATGGGGTACCCAGCGTGCACAAACCCTTCTTAGGCCGATGTTTCCTTGTAGGATGGTGCGGATTTCTCCCGATGGCTTTCTCTAGCTGTACCATAGTCACACGCGCGTCCTCCAGCAGCAATGTTGTACGCAGTGATGGCCTCCACAGGTCGACCACACTGTGCCTTAACATCCAGAGACCGCCTGTCTCGCTTGAATTCCTCAAACCACCCAAACACGGTGGTTTATCACCAAACTCAGCACACTCGCTCAGGGCTCTGGTTTGCTTTAAGCCACGTTTGCAGTCATACAATATCATCGCCCTATGCTGAGATCGGCTGAGCTCCATAATTACGGTCAGAGTATAGCGACCCTTAAGACTTGTGAGCTGTACTGGGTTGCTGATATAGGGTTCTGGGAATTGAAATCACTGAACAATATTCAGCATGGATTACGGTTCACATTTTTCCTGATAGCTCTTATACACCTTATCTGTGTGCTGCGTATCCGGAAATTTACTGCCCTGCCCTCCTATACTTTTTGAAGATGAGGATGACAACTGATGATTTACGTCTTGAAATAATGTTCCCCTATCGGTTCGTGTGAAAGGAGATTTTCAGATTCCTTATTTTCGCAGCAATAGAGGTCGCATGCGCTCGGGGTCCGTTCGGTAGCTCCTGTTCATTTTTAACCCGACTGGTTTCTGGGATCTGACGTTGGTGCGTCCAAAGTGGATTCAGACTGCACCGTCGGCGAGCGCATTGACGGTGCAAATTGAGAATCGCTTCCTTTTCTGGTATTTTTCATAACTTCGCTCCCGATGGGACCAGCCTTCTCTCTCATGGCTATCATGTGAGCTACAATGTTTTCAGTTCTTGCGGAAAATTATCGTTCCACATGGTTTATTGCCCTTACAGTTACTTTGAAACTAAGCATTCCGCGAGCTCATCTTTCCCCTTTCATTTGATGCAATCGAAACCGAACTGACTAACTTATTGCTCGGAGTAGCATGGGCACACATACAGATGACCGACTATGATGGTTTCCCTTGACTACAAAGCGCCTTCGACTTTGTTCACCGCGCCAGCTTGTGGCATAGTCTATCCATGAAGGGCGTGCCGGCTTAATCCCTTTCCATTATGCAGTCTCTCTACCGTGACTGTCGAGGCCGTGTAAGCGCCTACGGGAAATACTAGTTACCCATGACAAGTTGGATTTGCAGATTTGTCCTAAATCGCCTTTCCTCGTCTACCTTTTGATCGAAATGATCAAGAGTGATTCTGTTCTTTCAACCTCTACCGGACTGGAACTTCTACCAGGTGACCGACTGACAAACTTGGTGTATGCGGACGACATAGCTCTCCTTGAGTCTGATGTGGTGGCTATGCAAACCCTACTGGATAGACTGACGCGTAGCGCTGCACACTTCGGCATGTGCTTTGCACCTTCAATTGCAAAATGTTAAGCCGGACGAAAACAGAAAAACGGAGTTGTGTAATAAGATGGTTATTTGCGTAACAGTCAGTCTCAAAAAATATCGCAACAGGAACACAAATGAGCATACGAAAATCATTATGCAACTTCACTATCTGAACATACGTGAATGAGAAAGGCCACAGCTTCGACCGGAACAAAGCATAGTTCCTAACCCAAGCAGGGGCACAAGGAGTAGGGTAATTCCTCGAGGCTCTATTCTCCACAAGCGATGCAATCAACATGAGCATCGACATCGACCCGTTATACCAGCCACCGAGATAGAAAGACCTCAGACGGACTCAAAACTACAGCTCAAAAGTAATTAACCCGCTACCCGGACAATGCTCAGGACACGACGTGAATTAGTGTGCTGTTTCGAAACCTCCAGTACCGATCCACATACGAGAATCCAACCCACATCGCAACAGCATTTTGGAACTCTATGGTTATTACCGTAACATAGATGCAAGGTACAATAATTGACCAATCAGAACATGCCCAAGTTGCCAAGTCCAAAAGCTTGCATAAGGGATGGGGAAGTGACTGTCGGTAAGCAAGCAAAGACGTGCCTTCCACCAACTTTTGCTAGTAAACCGCTTACTCACACACACCAATAATGTCGCCTCGACTGATGACGATTTGTTTGCCAACACTATGCGCAGTGTGGTGCACACCACAGCAACCGAACCTTACCCACAAGTTTTTATCATCCCCCAGTGGTAGTTCTGCTTGATAAGATGGCCCGTCGGTACCCCCACCTTGAACACGAAACTGCACTTAATTGATTTTGCTTATTAAAAATATTTTCCCTCGTTGATCTAATTCTCGCTAACTCTGTCAGGTGAGACTTTTTGGTTTCTCAGAATGCCAACTGTTCTTCTCCAGGTCAAACATCAACACGCCTAATTTTTCACTTAAATGAGTGGACCATTTATTCTACGGTTTGGTACTAATGACCTCTTCTATTCTTTTCCATTTTTGAAGGAATTTTATTCAACTTTCTGTCTCCTGAGACACATTAATCCACTGCTCGTGTTCTACGGTAATTTTTGCACACTCTTTCACCCCTTGTATTTCATAATCACAATATGAGCTGGAGGTGAAGTCCTTAAATCTACTTTTTCGTCTCACACCATCTTTGCGTTATCTACCGTGGATCTACCAGTACTGCAAGAATATTCTAACAAATCATTTGATGAAACTATTTTCAATGTCACTGTGACCGTCTTACTCTATCTCTACTTTGAATATAAAGGCCTAGATACCGCGCAAGATTCATGACTTATTTGGTTTTGTAGACGAAGTTTTTGTACCAATCTTGAAGGAATATTTCAGTGAAACTTTGCCCTGTCTACTGGACAGAAATCCGTCAACCCGGTGCCGTTTACTCGTGTGACAATATCGCACCTCTTTTGTGTACCCATTCCTTAAATTTTGCATTTTCGATTGTGTCATTTTAGTGTGACTGCAAATGAAAATGCCCCCTTTCGGGTACATAAACCTCATCTTGATTTGAATTGTCTTGAACCTATTCTTGCCATAACCCTCTTCCAGATGTGTTCACACCACTCGTTATCTTTCATTTTCCTATGGTCCACAGAATTGTATGCGGCGCATCGCGATTGGCATCGTCGTCTTCGTGTAGCAGTGGCCGCCGGGGACTGCGTTCACCTACGCAACCTACTGCCGTCGGCCTCATCCATTCCACACGGCTCTGATGAGAGTGCAGCTGGCCGAATTGTGAGCGATTCTCCCTCTGCCGCAAACCCCACTTGTTAGTTTTCACGGTGTTTCTGTCAGTTCTAGCTTTTCACCCTCTGCAGAGCTCCATTATGAAAGTTGTGCCTTACTGTGGTCTATAGGCTTTGGGTTTTGTAACATTTTTCACTCTATGAGTACAATATTTTACCGTTGTTCGTACTGTCCTCTTTCTTCCACTCTGTTAGCACCCAGTACTCACTCACCGAATGGTGATCTCCCTCCGAACCCCGAAGTCTGTACTCGTCTCCTCAACCATCCCTTGGCTGAGGGTCGAACACTACTTCACATTGCAGTGGAATTACAAAGCGACCCTAATGTGATTTACACCCTACTGGACAGTGGTTGCGATCCAACACTCCGGTAATTTCTTATTTCCCCCACTTCTTTGACCCTTGTATCGGTACTTTCCAGAGACACATCTGGCTTCACTCCGTACAAGTTGGCTGCTGGCTTGCGAAAGAAGGCACTAACTATGGTTTTCCGACGCTTTCGATTCATCCACCCTGATCGATACGATTACGAGAAAGCCGAGGTAAACAGACGCGTTCCCCTTTTATCGCACTTTTTACTCCCTCTGCATTTGGTTCAACTTGGTGTACGCCTTCTCCACTCAGATCCCTGCTCCTTTGGATCCGAATAAAGAGGCTGAGAAACTAGAACGTGATAGGGAACGACAACGCCGCCAACGCCAACGTTTAAAGGAGAGGAAAGCGGCGGAAAGGGCACTGCAAGACAAATTGCGTGAAGAGGAAGCTGAGCGGCAACGCTTTTTGGCTCTGTCTGATCGAGAAAAGGTGAGATTTTCATCCCCATTACCAGTTCTGTTGCGTCGTTCCGGTGTTATCTGTTGCTGTCACGCTGTTGTTTACATGGCCTGCCTACTAGCCTGATCTCCTGTTTGGCCGATGCGAACTAACCTTATTGTTTGTTTCATTTGTCATTTATCAGCCAAAAGCTCCGCAGCACTAAATGCACTTGTTATGATCGGTTGTCGCTCACTTCACACAATTGAATCTCATGCTTTTTTCCGCATGTCTAGGCCTTTTGTTTAATCCCCTCAATGTAGGAACATTTTCACTGTGTTCACCTCATTTCCCCGATTGCTGGCCTCCTACCATCTTGACGAGACTTGACCATAACTTGGTGCGATGTTTCGCACTGGAACAGGAAAATTCCGAACCACCCAGCTGGCACGACGAGGAGGTTGTTCGGCAAGCAAAGTTTTGAAGCAGCAAAGAAACCAGCGGGGGTAGCACGCTGCGGTTGTCGCGTGCTTAGATGATTGTCTAGACAACGAACTCTCATTTGCCGTTTTTCGCTCTGATTGTTAGTTGGTGAGCTACAGCCACTGAAGTGAGCCCTTGCACAAGCCGCTCATCGGATTAGTGTCAACGTAACAACGAAACAGCTTAAAGAACATTGTGTGTGAGTGGATTCTCGCTACAAACAGATGGATTGCAGTCGAGCAGCGAAGCATACGAGGAAGACTATGTGAGTCTTAGGCAGTGTTTCGAACCGCGGTAGAATATCTGCCGGTGAGGACCCCAAGCCTGGGCAACATTCCACATCAACAAACGATGACAATACCGAAAAGGTTCCTAGGCGACCCGTAGATATAGTCATCGAACTGTTAGAAAGTTGCTGACGAAATAGGGATCAGCTAGGATCATGTCATCCACTTCTGGGTGACAAACCTGGGATGCATCGGGTTAGTGCGGACTTGGTCGTTGCATCATGACAATGCGCCGGCTAACGCATTGCTAATTATCCGCAACTATCTAGCAAAACATCAAACTCCCACTCTGCTCCATCCACCGTATCATTTGCACCTCAACGTAGCAGACCTATTCCTGTTTCCTTTCCTTAAAATCTAGCTGAAAGGAGGTCGCTTCCAAAACATAAAGGAGATTAAGGATAATGCGACAAACGACCAGAAAGTGCGTTCCAGAAAACATTCCAAAAATGTAAGCACTGTTGAGGAAGCTAAACTGCCAGTAGAGAGGACTACTTTGCGGAGCAGTGTTTAAAATGTACAGTAAGAAATAAGCACATTATAGCAAAGGTTCGCTTACTTTTTGGACACGGTTGTATTATTGAACTGCGAACTGTGACCTCAAGTTACAAGCGAGAAGCCTAGAAGTTAGGCGCCTTTTCGAGGCTGGAAGAGTGAGTGCCAAGCGTGTGCGCACTAGACATGGTCAGAATCCAGGCACATGCTCCAAATTGACCGACAGTCTTGGACTGATGTGAATCATCTATGGCTGACGGCAATATGGTCAATTCAAGTAGAGGTATTCAAGAAGAGGTATGTCAACTACTCGCCAACCTTAACGGCACCAAACCTGCGGGACCTGATGGGCTTCATCCACTGCTTCTCAAATCACTTTCGACCGTCATCTCTCCTATAGTGGCTGAGCTTTTCAACAGGTCGTTGTCCGAAGGTTCGTTGCCGATTGACTGGAAATGTTCGGTGGTGAAGCCTATTCCGAAAGCTGGCGACCCTAGCAAAGTAGACAACTACAGGCCAATTTGTCTGACACCTATTTTGGCAAAGGTTGCTGAGAAAATCGTGAAGAAGGGATTGCTGCAGTTGCTACAGTCAGACGAGGTCCTGACACCCGCACAGCACGGTTTTTATGCAAGGCCGTTCATGAATTACGAACCTGCTTGTGACGAGGCATGAGTGATTGAAGGCAATAAGCAAGGGGAAGTCTGTCGACATGACATTCATCGATTTCAGTAAAGCGTTCGACAAGGTCAGTCATGAGGTTCTCCTTCACAAACTCAGCATGTGTGGCGTCGGTGGCTCACTGTACACCGGTGCATCCGCGAGTTTCTTCTTGGACGAAAGTGGAGGGTACAGTTCGACGACCAGCTAAATGACTGGTATCCCTCTACAAGTGGCGTGCCTCAAGGCACTGTGCTGGGGCCCACTCTGTTCCTGATCCATATCAACGATCTACCTCAGCTTCTCCGGTCGCCGTGTGCCTTGTTTGCAGACGACATGAAGATGTGGAGAGAAACTGACGCTCCCAACGACTGTGGCGTACTTCAGCAAGACCTCGACCGCCTATCCACATGGTCTGCAGAAGTTCATCTCCCGGTCAACCCAACCAAGCCTGTATTTATGAGCCTGGGGAAGGGTGCTGACGGCCGAACCTACACCCTTGACGGCCAAGCGCTATATCCCACACCCTCCGTGAAGGACCTGGGTGTACTCTCGCGCTACGATTTGAAGTCCGTGGACAACACGAACACGCTATATCGTAACGAACTGCGCATGCTTTGGGCGCTCAAACTTAGCTTCGGCACACGGTATGAAGAGGTTGCCACTCGTCTCTTCTCTTCCATCATTAGACCAATGCTAGAGCACGGTTCGCCCACCTACTTTTCGATTACCCGAGGCGAGGCACAAAAGATCGAACGGGTCCAACACGTTGCTACCAGGCTCATCCCGAGTTTACGTGGCTTTGGGTATGAAGACCGGTGTGAGAAACTAGGACTCTACACATTGTCTTACCGTCCGGTGCGAGTCGACCTCATTATGACCTACCGTATACTACATCTCGGTGACTTTCCCATGCTGAGGCCAATGCTGCACTTACGAGGGCCATGCAACAGACGCGGACACAGATACAAACTTGTGGTGCCGGATGTGAAACGTTTTCCCCACCTACTGTGCCTCGAATGGAGAGTGATAAATAGTTGGAACCGTTTCCCGAACATGTGATTGAGGCAACATCTGTGCAGCAGTTCAAAACGTTGTTAGATTTGTATCTTGCCACTATTCGATTCAGAAAACGACTGCACACTTACCATGACGTACCACATTTGTGAGTTATGCAATACCGTGAGTCAGATATTTTAAATGTTACATGAGAACCACAACGAGATTCACGGCTAACAACTTTTATAACGATTTGCACCATATTTCGAAAGAGTTGTACAGAATTCATTTTTACTTGCTCTATAATACGGTATTCAGTATAAGCCACTGAGGAATTCAATGGGCCGCCGGGTGACGCAGTGTGAACGTTTGTGTTGCAAAGCAGTGCTGCAGCTGTGGTCAGTGCACAATTGCAGGAATCGATCGCGATTGTCTGCACAGCATGAGTCGACTCCGAGGCACCCACCCAGGTGTTGTTCAGAGTCAGAATGAGGACCCACTTGGGCATTCAAGTCAACAGCAACCATAACGATAACGGTAATATTGTCATGCAGAGAAGAGATGAGAGTTCGTGATAGAAAGTATCTCTGATACCATACGAGGCTGGCTTGCCGATCAACCTCCTCGTGGTGTCAGCTGGGTGGTTCGGGATTTTCCCGTTCCAGCAAATGGTTCGGCGACACTGTTCCAGTACGTGGTGGGTTTTCGCTTGGCAAGCGTTCTCTTTATAAAAAGCCACGTATGTCCGCTTAACAACACTGTGACGTGGCCGACGTGACTCTCCACTAAATAAAGTCACTGCCCCTTGCTTCATCCTGGCGAAGCATTGTATTCCAGCAAATTTATGCTGTAATTCGGGGAGCAATGGGGCCCTGTTTGACAAAGTAACAAAGGAAAGGCGTATGAACTGAGCAATGAGTCACCGGCTCCCAATGGGCGCGATTCCCTGAATTCGCTTCGCTGCCTCGCGGCAGGCTATTCAGCCAAAGGCTCGGGGTGGTGTCCCCTAAGTCAACACACTACTTCGGCTTGGGCAACCGGGTAGTATCTCGCCCTCTGAAGCAACCATGATCTTTAATGTGTTGTGTTGTGTTTTCTTTTACTATTTCTGTACTTTCTTTCGAGTCCAATGGTTTCTGATGGTTCTATGTCTATTCGTAGACTGTTGCAATATATATATATATATACATATATATATATATATATATATATATATATATATATATATATTGAACACAGTAGTACCGTGAGGAACTTGTCCAGCAGCTGTCAGTGTGAATGAAATTATTGAGCCGAGCGATAACTGAACCCTATCAAGTGTGTCATGACGAATGCTTTTGACACGCGCTGTGTGCCTAAGTTTATAAGTCCAAACTGAATATTCTTTTGAGGCATCGAGCAGTTTGCTCGAAGCACGGAAGCGCGTTTCAGTGGGTACTGGGTTTCTGCGTATCCAAGACGCTGTTGGACAACGATCGCGGAGTCTTTCAGTTGGCCTGGGAGGTTGGTGGTTGGCAAGGGCCTGTGAAATGGAGGAAGTCAGTGCTATCTGGAACGACTGCATTCTGTTCTAGCTCATTCGGAACACGGGTCCTAGAAAACTCACAGTGCAGCCATTACTGAGGAATATGGAACGCCGATTCTCAGCCTCGTTGGGGTAGACAATTTGAATAGCAGTTCGGTAGGCCTGTTGTGACATTGCTGCTCACTGAATCACTTGAGCCGATGTTTATGTCGCATCCTTTGCTTTGGAAGAGATTCGACGTGAGCTCGCCTTGTTAAAACAACACAAGGCTCCTGGACCTGATGACCCTGCTTCGTATTTGTTGAAAATGAACATAGCTCTGCTGACTAGACTTGCTGCTCTGTTTAACACGATTTGGTACATTAAAGAGGTGTCAACTGTCGTTCCCATCATCAAAAACATCAGTGAACTTTGTTAGAATCTACTTGGGGTCTCCACCTTATTGGCATTGCTTCGAACATTCCCAAGGATATCACTCTTCGACGAATCATTGAAAGCGATCCTTGTTTCATTTCCTGGTCGTGGTTGCATCAACCACATATCCACACTTCCTCAATTGTAAGAGCGGGGACATGTTTGCAGCCGACCGATCATGGGGTTTT